AAAAGGTGAAACAACAACCTCCAGAATCGGCTTCTTCCAATTATATCTGAATTTCACTCACTAATAATCCGCCTCCAAACCATTCTCCGCTCCATTAGGTTGGTTTAGTGCGATTTAAAGGCTCAGTCCACCTTTACTCCATGTTACAGCCCTATGTAGCGTATAACATTAAACATGGTCACATTCTCACCTTGTCCCCCAAGGACAGGAAGCGTGTTACTGGCAGGATCACCAGGTGAGCGTTGTCACCATAGGACAGGAAGTGTGTTACTGGCAGGATCACCAGGTGAGTGTTGTCACCCTAGGACAGGAAGAGCGTTACTGGCAGGGTCGCCAGGTGCGCGTTGTCACCCTAGGACAGGAAGTGTGTTACTGGCAGGGTCACCAGGTGAGCGTTGTCACCCTAGGACAGCAAGCGTGTTACTGGCTGGATCACCCTAGGACAGGAAGTTTTTTACTAGCAGGTTCACTGATGAGCGTTGTCACCCTAGGACAGGAAGTTTGTTACTGGCAGGATCACCAGGTGAGCATTGCCAGCCTAGGACAGGAAGTGTGTTACTGGCAGGATCACCAGGTGAGTGTTGTCACCCTAGGACAGGAAGAGCGTTACTGGCAGGGTCGCCAGGTGCGCGTTGTCACCCTAGGACAGGAAGTGTGTTACTGGCAGGGTCACCAGGTGAGCGTTGTCACCCTAGGACAGCAAGCGTGTTACTGGCAGGATCACCAGGTGATCGTTTTCCCCCTAGGACAGCAAGCGTGTTACTGGCAGGATCACTAGGTGAGCGTTGTCACCCTAGGACAGGAAGCGTGTTACTGGCAGGATCGCCAGGTGAGCATTGTCACCCTAGGACAGGAAGCGTATTACTGGCAGGATCATCATGTGAGCGTTGTCATCCTAAAACAGGAAGCGTATTACTGGCAGGATCACCAGGTGCGCGTTGTCATCCTAGGACAGGAAGTGTGTTACTGGCAGGGTCACCAGGTGAGCGTTGTCACCCTAGGACAGCAAGCGTGTTACTGGCAGGATCACCAGGTGATTGTTTTCCCCCTAGGACAGCAAGCGTGTTACTGGCAGGATCACTAGGTGAGCGTTGTCACCCTAGGACAGGAAGCGTGTTACTGGCAGGATCGCCAGGTGAGCATTGTCACCCTAGGACAGGAAGCGTATTACTGGCAGGATCATCATGTGAGCGTTGTCATCCTAAAACAGGAAGCGTATTACTGGCAGGATCACCAGGTGCGCGTTGTCATCCTAGGACAGGAAGCGTGTTACTGGCAGGATCATCATGTGAGCATAGTCACCCTGGGACAGGAAGTGTGTTACTGGCAGGATCATCAGGTGAGCGTTGTCATCCTAAAACAGGAAGCGTGTTACTGGCAGGATCAGAAAGGTGAGAATAAAAAAAAACTTAAAACAAAACTCCGCTGTGGACTTTAATAAGATTCACCTCTATGTTCGGATTCACCAAATTTTGAACACGATTTGTTGAACCCTCGGTGAATGATCCTGGGCAGATTCACCCATCAGTAGCACTAACCATTCACCGAACACATGTGTTGAATCTAATGATCACATTCGGGATAATTTCTCAGCTCGACGTATTTCCTGAAATTTTGTCTGCCGCGAAAAGCCCCAAAATGTCCGGATAATTCTCTCTTCCCGGGAAATCCCAGAATAGTCCCGAGACAATCCGTTCTCTGTACGAGGTTACGGTATATGACGGCGCTTCCTCTACTGTATATATCATTGTATTCTAAGGGAAGTACGGACTGAAAATCAACATTGAACCCAAGCCGGAAGATCGCGCGGATACATTCAGCAGGGAGTACAGTACACATGACATGTTGAATGCTTTACTGTATCTTCCAACTGCTGCAAATTCAGAGAGTGCTAAGCGAATCTAAGGCCCCGTTCACACCGGGGAGCGGTTCGGCCGCGCAGATCCGCCAACACGAACGATCCCGTACATTGCTATGGGAACCATTCATGCGACCGCACGGCTTGATCCAAACTAAACCCCTCCCCCCTATTCCCC